AGAGTACTCGATGCATTGTCATTCGAGGTCTATCCTTGATCCACTAAGCTAGGCGATTCGAAACAATCTCGCTATGATGACGTGTGTTGTTGTGCCAACTATACGCCACAAGCGTTGCATTCATTTCGATTTATGTATAAACATGATCCAATTCACACATGTTAGTAGGTACATAGTAAAAAAAAACATTTTGTATTTGTGTTAGAAATGGTCCACTCAAGTTCTTGTTAAAAATTTTGTGTTGAATGTTTAACATATCTGAATGTTAATTTAATATAATGTGATAGTATTATTTGAATATTTTGTGTTAAATGAATATTCTCAACATTTCTTAGTGTTAAAATAACACAATTTATACATGTGAATAACTAATACAAAAATTTTTATGTAAGTGTTTTATGTTTTTTTATGTAAGTTAAAAAAAAAATAAATAAAATGTATGTGTTAATTTAATATATTTAAACATAATTTAACATATTCATAAATGTTAATTTAAACGAAAAAGTATAATCCCTTACAAATTGTGTCAATGTCACGTTTTTTCTGTTAATTTTTAACATAATATTTGTGTTACTTTTTACTTTATATTCATTTAAAATTAACACAAAAATTTGAAAGAATCGTTTGGAACGTGTAAAATGTGTTAAACACAAATTTTCTAACTGTACATTTGCAATTTTCTCATAATCAACGAAAAATCCAATATCAAATATCTCGGCACTTGATATCACTATGCGATAGCGTAATCCATAATCTGTATTATTTCGCGAGTTATCAGAAATGATTCCAAAAAACCTGAAACTTGCGGCTTTCGCGCGTAATCAGTCTGATTGGAAAGAGCCGCCGTTCTATCAGAATAGAATGCAAATCCCGGAAGTCGAGTCTCGTAATTCGGTCGCAGTGTCTTCGCATCAGATCACCCGGTAGAGAACTCCATAGGCACGAGTAGGCTATTACCTAACTCTCGTAGTTGCGTATACAGAAAGCAAGATAGCCGGCCGATGGGGCCGCGTATATACTCGGGTTCCACAGTTACGTATCTAGAAGCTTGCCACCGCTGCTGCCGCACCGTTTGGTCCGGGGCGGGTAGGTAGGTATCGTATTATATACGTAGTGAGGGCTGGAGGGTCCTCACTGCCGCAACATTACGCTGATTGCCTGAATTATCCGCAACCAGCCTGCCTATGCTCTCTGCTATGTACAAGTCTATATATATCTAGCGGCTTGGTGTGTGTGTGTGTGTGTGTGTGTATATATATATGCTTTTCGCATTTATATATATATACATATCTGGATTCATATATATGTGTATATCTGTATAATGTGTATATATATATATATATGTGTGTGTATACATATATACGTATATGTATGTGTATGTGTGTATATATATATATATATATATGTCTCTATGTATGTAGAAATGTATGTACGCGATCTGTTTTCCCTTGATGCGCTCTCCGTTGATGTGCATAATACACATTCGCGAACTATGCGTGCGAACATACGTGCGCATTAGTATAGGTATGTTTGTATACATATACACACACATATATATGTATACTATATGATGTATATACATATATATATATATATGTATATACATATACTCATAAAAAATATATGTACAAGATGGTCCACTTAATTTGAAAATCTTGAATATTTCACTTGTTTTTGATGAAAAAAATATTTCAGAAAAAAGTGGAACAATTTCAAGTAAATGGACCACCTTGTGTATATAGGATGATTTAAAATATAGCAAGTTCTTGAAAAATTAAGTACAAAAGTTATCCGTAAATTTTTATTTATGTAGTAATTTTTGAGATAATAATAATGATTCAAATGATCAATTACAGACTACGTTTAGATAGATCATCTGATCATGAATTGCGTGTGATAGTATTAATGAGTGGTACTGAGTTGATGGTGGTTCAGCATGTTCATTGATATTCATTGATTATTATCTACACGTAGTCTGTGATTATATTTAAATCTTTATATATCTCAGAAACTATTATTTAAAATTTACAAATAGTTTGTTTACTTAATTTTCCAAAAACTATCTTACTATTTTTTTAAATATTTTAAGTCGCGAATTTTGAAACACTCTGTACATAAATTATACACATATAATACATATTGTACTCATATGGCGATGCACATATACGCATATAAATAGGTACGAATCTCTATGAATGCGAGCGTAAGTATCGTCATGCTCATAAGAGAAGTGGTTCACGAGGAGAAAATTGAAAACGGAGCTACACGTGAACGCGGAAGACGATAGCGCGATATATTCATGAAGGTGGAATAATGAATCAAGACGAGGTATACGCAAATATCCCGCATCCTCGATATTGATGCGGCGTGGCATGCGCGTTATCTGCCGTACCGGCAAACTGTTACGAATCGATCGATTTACTTTTCAGCATAATACCATGTGCCTATTTCAATCTCTGATATTTCCGAAAAGAAACCAAACTTTAAACATGTTGAAGCAGTAACTTTTCTTTTTTATTTTTACCAGGAACCATAGATTTTTTTTTTAATTTCAGTACAATAAGACCATTTGCTTTTTCTCGCACAATTTAAGTTGCTGTTGCCAATTAACAAAGAAAATTTTAAATTGCACTATCGATTCAAGATGAATGTCAGTAAAAATATAGAATTTATAAGTTATCGCAAGCGAAGAATAGCGAAAAGTGAATAGATGACTCCATGCTCAGCAGCAGCCCTAGCCATGAATTTGTTTCGACCGTAACGCGAACTTGCAATAGAACGAAGAAATGGAAGGGCAAGGAAGGGTTAAGGATCGCGTATCATACTGTTTGATTAATGTACTTCACCCGTACATGTTCGTCTATCTTGGGCGATCCTGCCTACACATAGAGAACTCGGACACGCGAGTCATTTATTAGTTACACTAATACGGGACAAAATAACGTATATATAGTAGCAACAAAATGTTATGGAGAAGCGATATAGCATACGCGAAAATTCATGATAGCGAATGAGATATAAAACTACTAGATTTATGATATTTTTCATATAATAAATTGCAACAACTTTTTGTTCAAAAAAATCGATATTATCGATATATGGATATATTATCCAAATGCGGAAATTAGATGTTTTTAAATATGCAACCAATATGAAATAATAATAATGAAAACATCTGAATGATACGCAGATACAGGCAGACTTTAAATCGTACACTCTAAAAAATCCTATCAGTGTAGATTTAACACTACAAAGTATTTATATAATTCTTATCGTGTTAAGATTAATACCAATATAGAGTGGATTTAAAACCTACAGTGTTAATATTAATATCAACCCAGTGAGAAATGTATGTATAGATATCACATAGTATATAATTCACACCAACATTTTTATAAGTGTAAGACGAAAAACAGATTCTAATTTTTAAGATTTAAAGAGATTTTTTTTTTAAGATGAATTTTTTCATATTAAATGGTACAGAATTCTGATCGCTCTTTGCTCGCAACTAATTAGAAGTACACATTTTTTACACATAATGTCTTATTTCATCATGTGTATTTTGTCACATACAAGAAGATATACGTCAGTATTTAAAAAAAATCTAGATAAGAGAGATATTAATGTCCTTTTCATATTTTTGTCGATTATCATAATGGCTTAAAATGTACACGATCGTCATTGTCGTATATATTTAAATTTTATCAGACGACCTTATCTGGACCTTACACCAAGGCAAATACTGATTACGCGATATAAACGATACGTCAGTGTCAATCTCAACGATAAGTACGTTGAGTGAAAGAAGAGCTCTTATTCATGTTTTTGTGACTAAGCTCACATGTAACACTTTCTTAGAGTATTATGATAAAATCATTTGTACGTTCGATATTCTCACACGAGAGAGACAGAGAGAAAGAGATCACTTGTATGAATATATTTTACCTCTATAATCAGCAACAATTAACTTAAAATGTTCATGGATAATTTCGGCATAAAAGATAATCATCACATAGAAAAGACATCACATAGACCGCGAAAATATAGATTAACTATCTTAATTGTCAAATTCGCTCAAGCGCAATGCATCTTAAGTCATTTATATGATATCGCATTTTTTAAATTAATTTTTTATTTTGTTTTATGTCATATATATCATAAATGCCAATTGTGTACCTTAATAATATCAAGAGCAAAGAATCAAATAAAATCTTTTATGCAAAACTTTAAAGTTTAAGTAATAAAAAGTTATATTAAATTCAAGATCTATGTATGCGTAAATTGCAGAAATCTAATTAAATCAAAATGTAATATATTATCAAAGAAACTTATTTGAATTTTCTTGCTTAATATCATTATAATTAATATCATTATAATTAGAATATTTTTACTTTATTTCTAAATTCAAATAATCTTTTTATCGGAAAAATGAATTGTACGCATCTTAACATTGTCTTCCTTAAACATAAAACTCTGTTAAATAGATAAAATACTTCAATGTTGTGTAATTTCACCATTTTTACGACTTCAAATGTCCAACAATTAAAAATTCTAATATTAACATAGAAAGCTTTAATGATAAAACGTTTTACGAGTTCCGATTATTATCTAAAATCATTCAAGGTTGACCTTGTGATGTCTTATTAACTTACTACATATCTTTTATCAATAATAAATATAAATCATATTTGATTGAAATCAAATTACACGATAAATACAGTGTGATATAAAGTTTAATTTAATTCAAATTTTTTGTGTTAGTTCATAAATTATCGACTTATGATTGAGTTATAATTGCAGATTGTTTAATATTCGTGGCCTAAAAAAAGCAAATGTCTCTGACATAAAAATTTTTCTGCGAAATAATGTGACTAATGATCTTTTTTTTTTCGAGGAAAGTATATCTTCGATAGATAAAATCTGTCCTTGTGATAACATGATATGAATATTTATAATATTCTATAAATTCAAGCGGCTATAAAAGCCGCTTGAGTGCCATCAGTCACATTTAAACGAATCGGAGAGGTGTTAATAAGACGAACGATACGTTTCTTAGTCCGGATTAAGTAAAGGATAGGCGATGAAGGGTAAGCGTTAAAAATCTTTTTATAATAAAATCATCATTAAAATGATCAAATGACATATTGACACGCTATGTGTCGGAAATTTTTAAAAATCCAATTTTATTATATAAATATCTGACGCATTCATTCGATTGTAATAAAAGTCGGTTAAATCATGATTCGCCCGTATTCACAATTGATACTTTTACAATGTGATTTTTGTTCTGTATAGGAATATACGTCGCCATCGCCTTCCTGGCAGCTTCAGCCGTTAGCGTCGTGGACTCCGACCAGGATTTTTCGGAAGAAGTCTTCGTGGATGACGTTCCTACAGTATGCCCATTGCCACAACCAAATTGGAGGAACACCACAACCAACATCCCGCATGAAAATAATTGCGTGTTATTTTACAAGTGTAAACTAGGACAAGGTATCAACCAAATATGTCCCTTGATGATCGAAGGAGATCCAGTGTCGAGATTGCATTACAATAGACGCCTGCAGGTTTGTGATTGGCCATGGCAGGCCGGTTGCGCAAGTTGCCCAATAGAGTATCCAAATGGAACATTTCCGCCGCCAGAAAAAATAAATAATCCAACGAACGATTGCCAGTATCTAGAGTGCGCAAATGGACGCGCATCCGGACCATTTAATTGTCCACCCGGTACATGCTTCAGTCGCACATGTCAGGAATGTGTTAGGGACAGGATTAATGGAAAATGCAATGGAGAAATTATTTCTAGATGCGTAGAAGGCAATCGAAGAATTCATGATTGTTTCTGCAATTTTTATGACGAATGTACAAGAATTAACGGAGAACTTCTTTGGATCCAGAAAGAGTGCGAGGGTGGTATACATTTTAGCGTCACACAAAAAAGATGTATGCTACCGAATGAAGCTAATTGTCCACACATAAGGCATTTATAAGGCAGAAAAAAATTGTTGTAATTATCACAACCATAATTTATAGTCATTTTCGGCCAGCTATATATTATTCATATTGAACTACAAATATAATTATTATTAACACTACAGCAGTAGCTAAAATTGAAGCACATTTAATCGTAATTATTTTAATAAATAATTGAAATAATTACAAATACCATTTTTCTCTCAGTGTATCACAAAAACCTGGCAAACTATTCAACGCTTATTCTGAAGAATAGATGGTGTCACAAGTGCAGTTGCAGACATATACGAATGTAAAAGAGTCTTTCTTCAAAGTTTTTTCTTTGATAAGTATAAAGATATGACTTCTCCCTCGCTTTCTCTCTTTAAAAATATACAAATACCCAAATCGTAAAAGTTATGAAGACATTTGTGCATCGATTTCAGAAAATACTAAAATAGTGATGAATATGAAGAAGAAATTACTTTACAAATACTAAAATTGTTATTAATATTATTATATTTGTTTGAGTAGCTAGTTTCCTAAGATATTTTAATAAATCTGATAAAATGTACGATTATTTCTTTGCAACTTCCCTGTCAGTGTAATCCTTCAGTAAATACATACATTTATACCACACCCATGTCCACCATACACACATACGCGCGCGCGCGCGCGCACACACATATACACTCACATCGCTATTTTATCATTTCCAATTTAGATAAAAAAAACTTATGATAAGAATAATCTTATTTAGTAATCTACAGTACAAAATAAATCAAAAGATATCAATTATTGTTCGGATATTCAACTGTAATACCAGCAAATACAGATACTGAGCATCGCATCATCGGTGCGAATTGTAAAAAAATAAATCAAAATTATTAATAAAAATTTCTTTCTATACAATCTCTAATCACGAATTTTATCATTCAGTTCCCACATTTATACACATTTATAAAAATAAACAAAATTTCAATGTGTACTAATTTAAGTATTTGCGTAAAATCATGAAAGACAAAATTAAAGAGACTTAGAAAAAAAGCAGAATACTGGCAGCATTTCGATTCCGGTGACACAGTGACACGGAGCTTATCAGCCGAAACCCCTCCATTCGGCGGTCGTTCCTGATAAATAGAACGGTACCGGGAACAGTGTCGCGAGTCCCGACAATGGACCGCCGGAAGACCGGGGCAGCTTTAATTTCCCCCCGTAGTTCCTGGCAATTACCGCGCGGCGCGACCTGATAGCCATCTCTATCTCCGACCACAATGCCGTCAGTTCCGACGCACCCCGTTCCTTGCCACCTTGCCAGCGATTTACTTCCCTCCTCACCCACGGAACGTCGTCGGCCTTCGACGATTTTTCTTGTCCCAGCGTGATACACGAGCTGTCCGATGTCCCTACAACCGATTGGACGAACTCGCAAATTATTGATGAAAAGATCGAGAATCTAGATATATCCTCTAAAAATATCTCCTAAAATCAAGAAAGAATCTCGTAGGAAATTACATTCTATATAATTTTATACAGTATCCATTAGTCATCATATGACTGAAATTGTTCGTCTCTCTCTCTCTTGACCGAATAATATTATCATTATTAAAGATCATTAACGTCATCATGCTATTATTAGAATTATTCATTGGAGATTGCAGTAGAAAGATTTAATTAAAAGAATTTATAATTAATAGCGGTGAATCTGCAAATAAACATTGAAATAAAAATTTATAAATTATTTTCTCGAATGTCAAAGCTTCTTAGATTGAACTTTTTTCTCATTTCAAAGATGTCTGCTATAACATTCATGAATATTGCGCAATTAGTTTCTTCCGAAGCCGTAACTTATTTACACGAGAGAAACACAAGGATGCACGTGCGAAGTGGTACGCCCGAAAGTCGAGTGTTTAACAACTCGGCGGCCAAACTCCTTCGAGAAGCTCGTAAATGGTGCGGGACGATTGGAACGCAACTGCTTAAGTTCGGTCACCGAAGAAAGAAGAGAAGGAAAGGGTATGCGACAGCAGGTAAATCCCCTCTTCTCTCTCTCTCTCTCTCTCTCTCTCCCTCTCTCACGGCAACATTATCGTGTTTTAATTTAACTTGCAGCTGCACTTTAATTAGACTTTGGCTGAATGAGGAGACGACGCTCGACGGGCAAAGCGAATAAGTACTGGCAAGTAAACGAGAGGCGAAGCGAGCGAACTTTATTCCTCATCCATTTCCCTGTCCCTTGGCAACCTCCTCTGCCTTCCTCCCCCTGTATAGCTCCTCCATCCCAGCTTCCCATCTATATCTACGGTTAGACAGAAAATTCGAGTGATAAGGAAAGAGCGCAGCGGAAAAGGAAGGTAATTGGCCAATGCCGACAATACGACTAGCAACGTCGCTTCTACTTAATTTTTCTTCTCTTTGCGAATTTTACTTCATTTTGTAGTAAGAAAGGTATTCCTTGAGATGCATGTCTTCGACGTGATTATACAAGAAACTGGTATAATTTTTGAAAATATTTTAAAATTATCGCATTTTCCCTTATACATATATAGTATATAGTATGTATATACATATATATATATATAGTTTTTTTTTATTCTCCGAAAAATAGTCATGATTTATTTTTTCTATCGCTTCACACGAATTTTATCAACATAATCAACATTTGCAATTTCATCTGTATTTAAATATCTCGTTAATTAATCGAAGTAAATATAGATTGTAGGCCATAATTCTGTTTATCATGCAAGTTACCAGATCGCGTTTTGCCGAATTCCAGAATTCATTGTCAGATCTCCCGCTTCGAACACCTCAAAAAACGCGTTTCCGACGCAGGGGCGTTTCCGCTCACAACCATTCAACTGTCGATATTACTCCGTTTGCTCGCACGAGCGCGAGACGCCAGCTGCTTTCCACAGCCGTATACATTCTTCGCGGAGCTTGCAACGCGAAACGCAATAAATCTCCCGACTCTTCCTCTCGTAACGTTTCTCGTTTCTCGAAATAATGACATAGCGAAGCCATGGCTCGTATAAGTCGGTTTTCAATGGCGCCCCTCATCTCGCGCGCGCCGGTGTCTCTTCGCGCTTAATGAACGCCGAAACTGTCGCGAAGCCTTGCCCATACCTTAGCGCCTTTTCCATCCCTCTACGCTACGTTGACACGAGCTTCGCCAACAATCTCGACAATGGCGGGTTTTCGTACTCTGACGATCGACATCAAAGGCAATCGCGAAGTCCTATCATGACCTTGTGAACATTTAACCGGACGGATTAAACACGCGATCAATTCGGCAGACGGGGGTTCTCGAAATCACGTGTAACTTTGAAACGAATCGAGGGATCACATTCGACAGTCAAATACATGAAAAATCTCGAGATATCCTAAATTATAAAAAATCGAACGACACGTTCTAGCCTGTTATCTTTCTGAAAATAAATCAACAAAAGTGAATATTATTTAAAAATGATGTATAATACACTATTTTTATTTCTAATCACTTTTTTTCAATGTCAAAGAACATTTTTCATTTTCCTTTCAATTTTACTTTATTTCTTTCTTTCTTTCTTCATTTTTTGCAAAACTCTAATACTACTTCCGTCTTCCACTGAGAACCTCTGTTTCAGGTCGAGAGCACTTATTCGGGCCATAACTCCTACGCATGTGTTCCCTTCTTTTTGCCCTTCTTTCTTTCCCGCCCTCATAAATACATGACGACGAGAAAAAGGAACAGTAGATCTATGAGAAACAAGGACGACAGCAGAATATGGTAGTGCCGGGACGAAAATGGCAAAGTCATGCCGAAGGGATGAAGGGCGGATGTAGAATCCGGGACTTTAAAACAAATATATCGCGCGTAAATCCAACGTGGAAGTACGTAAGTCTCCTGCCGGGAAGATCCCTGGATGTAACTCCCCAGACGAGAACGAAGGCGCGAAATGCCGCGAGGAAAGAGAGTGGAGCAAATCGTCGACGTTTTGCTTTACATATTTCCCGCGAAATTGTCATAGCCGAATTGTCATGGCGAGAGGGGGAAAAAAACACAACCGTAAGACACGGAATCACGCATACGAAAAGTAACAAGGCAGACGCTTAAAATGTCATTCCTCTTTTTCTCTCCTCGCACAGAAATTTTGTAAATGTATATATTTTTTTTTCCTGTGATCTTAGATTTATATATTTGGAACTGCATAAGCTAGTATTACGGAAAAAGAACTGGTCCTCGAGTAGAAACGTCCAGAGTTTCCCGCCTGGACCGAGCGTACATATCCCGTGGGCGAATATCAGAATTCATGAATACCGAAGTATTTGCCAAGTGCGTATCGATATGCGAAAGCGTCGCGCGGACAATTTTACGTACGTGTACTTGTACATACCTTCGTTTGCCACATACAGTATTCAAAAAATCACGCATTCCATAAAAAAAATAAAATAAAATAAAATAAAGAAGACTTCTGTGCTTTGAATAACTTATAAATTTTAATACCAATGATCTCGAAAAAAGTTTACTCGTTAATAAATTTCTCTCGATAGATGATTCCAAGATTACTTAATGTACAAAATTGTTCCATATGACGATTCGAGCTGTTAAAGCTCGAAATCTTTAACAACGCTCTAGCAACGCTCGAGAGCTATCTATCTCTTGGCATTGCAGATGTAATCGCCGTTCTTTCGAGGGGAGAGGTTATATTCTGGCGGTCTCGCTCTTCGCAGGAATTGCGCTTGAGTGTCTCCGATATACACACCCTGTATAGCTACGTGGGCTCGGTACGCGTCGTGCATGTAGTCGGGCAAAGTCCCCGCGGGCTTAATACGGTATGCACGTCTGTCGTTCGCAAGCTCGACCCTATGCGGGCTCGAATCCGCTACCAAGCTAATATTCCACGAGAGGGCCCTGGGCTACGTGCTCGGACTCGGAAAACTCGGTAGACTCGTCGAGGTCCGCTCCCTGATACCATAGCAGTCGATTCCGCTGCTACGTCAGATCGGACAAAAGCGCGGGTAATTGCCGTCGGGCCGCGATAGATTTCGTCGACGGTTGAGTCGATATTATAAATATCCACAGGCGAGATAAGTCCATGAATTTGCCGGATAATTATTTTAAACTTTAAGACATCAAAAAGTCGTCGTTGCATTTGCATCGTCATCGTTGCGATTTATTCTGATTTTTTTCAAACCTAATTATCAAAATACAAAGTGATTTTTCAAATCGTCATTAATTTTTTTAAGGACGAGAGAAAGAGAGATAGAAGAAAAAAAATCTTTATCAAGAAAAACACAAGGTTATCTTGTGAGGCTTATTAACTTATCACGAATCTTTTATATCGACAAGTCTTGATGAAAATTAAATTAAATTTGGGGCAGTATTAACAATTCTTCTATGAAAGAATGTGATTATTCGATCTTTCTTCGATAAAAAGATATATCTTCGATAAATATA